TTCTGTGCAGTGAGAAAACCTGAAGTCATTTTCAAGTTCCACCATGTCTTACTTCTTTTCAGTTAGGTCAAGTTTCTAAACTTTCTAAATCTCCGTTTTCCCAATAATGAAAAGAAAAGAGGATTCTACTGAGTTTCCTATCTACCTACTCCAGGACTTCTGTGAGGATCAAATGAAATGAGGCATGGGAAACACTTCACAAACATTTGGTTAAACTGTAAAATGTTTGCACCTGGGTATAAAGCAAGTCCTGTTCCTGGACTGAAGAAACTCCAAGGAGTCTAGTCACTAGGGAGTTGCTATGTGACATCATTACCAGACAGACACTTAGCATATTAGCCTTTTATACTAGTACTAGAGGCCCAGTGCATGAAAATTCATGCACTGGAGGGGGGTCCCTCATCCCAGCCTGCCCCCATTCACAGAGCCCTCTGGGGTGGGAGGCAACCTGGTGATCAGGGGAAGGCGATGCCCCCATCACACCTCTGCTGCTGCCACTGCTGGCAGCGCAAACCTCAGTCAGCTCTGGTTACCTGAGCCTCGAGTGGCCCTGGGCGGCTGGGCAGATGCCATCTGAGGCTTGTCTGCGCCTCGGGCAAGCCCTGGGGAGCTAGGGAGATGACAGGCCTGGGGGAATCTGGAGGTGGGCGTGCTGCCACAGCGGGGCTGTGGGGATTGGGCGCCACAATCTTGTGGCTGTGGGCACCACCATCTTTGAGGGTGGGACAGTCAATTAGCATATTCCCACCTTATTGGTGTGGGTGTCACCATCTTTGAGGTGGTGTGAGGGTCAATTAGCATATTCCCTCTTTATTAGATAGGATATATAGATTACTAGTTCATATGTCTCCTTTTCCCCCCATTGACCTCTCCCTGGCCCCTCACACACCCAGCACATGCCCTCATCCCCCTTGTGTCTGTGTCCATCCATTGTGCACATATGCATGCATACAAGTCCTTTGATTGCTTTCTTAACCCTCACCAGCACCCTCCCCTGCCTTCCATCTGAGGTTTGCCAGTCTGTTCGATGCTTCTCTGTTTTTGGATCTATTTTTTCCCCACCCCTCAGCACATGCCCTCACACCCCTACTGTCTGTGTCCATAGGTCATGCTTATATGCATGCATACAAGTCCTTTGGTTGATCTCTTACCCCAACCCCCACCTGCCCCTGCCTTCCCTCTGAGGTTTGATGGTCTGTTCGATGCTTCTCTGTCTCTGGATATACTTTTGTTCATCAGTTTATGTTGCTCATTATATTCCACAAATGAGTGAGATCATTTGATATTTATCTTTCTCTGACTGGCTTATTTCACTTAGCATAATGCTCTCCAGGTCCA